TGTTACATTTATTCAAAATCTTACAATTAACAAATGAAAAATAGTTTGAGCCATATTGAGATCTATTTCAAAAGAAGGAATTTATTTTGAAGTTACTGTTTGGAACTGATATGTTAACTGATTTGTTAAATTTTATAGTTGTTAAATTTTGATTGCTTTGTTATACATACAATAAATGAAATAACATGATGATACTGGGGTTGTTAATGTATGAAAAAGGTCTTCAATACGATAAATTGCTCCGCCCTCGCCTCCTATCAATTTTACTGACCCTCTATGGCTCTACAGAGTGTAAGTAAGTGACTATCTAACTTATAATATATCCCATATTAGGGCAATTTAAGAGCATGCTGATGTTGTCTGGGATAACTGTCAAGTCTATGCTAAAACTCTATTAGAATACATAAATCTTGAGGCTGCCATGTTAATAACTGAGTTACGCAGAGTTACCTCACACGAAAACCTGGATAGGATGTCCTTAGATTACAGAAGGTAAAAACACAATGTACAAAATCTTAACTAAAGAAACACCTGAATACTTATATCAACTTCGAAACAACAGAATCTTCAATGAATCTGTTTGTCGAACTGTAAGCTATATGGATAGTTTCTTTCCAAACACGATATCTGAATTTAATAAAATAAGTAATCTCATAACAAATATTCACTCTGTAAGGTACTTTGAAAAACTCTGTCTAGGACAAATCCTCCAGCTTGTAAGAATAACATCGTTTTTAGAGAAGGAGGACCAAGCAAATTAAATATCATTCTCTGTCAGCTAAGGAATTCAGCCAGCACTCTAAATAATGATCTACATAAAGACCATCTTTATGATGACCCATCTTGTGCATGTGGTACCCCAACTGAAACAGCTCAACATTTCGTTTTTGGCTGCCCTATATATATTAACCCTAGACAAAGTCTATTACAAACCCTTAAAAAAACCACAATCATAAGCAGTATGAACTAAACTATGTTTTGCATGGCTGCCTTATCTGTACCACCCACATCAATAAATTGTTGTTTGTTGCTGTAATTAAGTATATTGATTATGTGATGTGCACCCGTATGGTAGCGTGCGTTCACGCCGGGCTCTCAATTTATACGGAGCTACCTGCTCCAGAGGCGATCGGGATACCTCAGCTACCTGGCCGAACAGTTGAACAAAATAACACAAACAATATATCAATCTACACTACAATAGGATAGACAGTACCCCTGTCCTCCCTACACCGTCGCCTGGACGTAAATCACACCACAAGGCTACAACACACCGTAACACTCAACAGCTTGCCAGCACCACGACACGGTCACTACTACACCGTACAGCTCGGACGTCGCCTACCGGTGTCCTGCTGTTACAAAGTACTAAGTAAGGTGTCAGTTTTTGTATCAGCAGTCAGGCGTACCAGAGCAGTCTTTGCAGGCGACTCCTTATCCAGGAGCTTCTGGCGTACCTGACCCGTCAACTTACTGGCACGAACCACACGTACACTAACTGTTACCCGAGTAGCCTTATTCAGGAAACCCCTTATGCAGGAGCTTCTGGTAACAGTATGCAGCCAATGCTTGCCTTTATTGTTTACGCTGTTCACTCTGTGGTCTTCTGTGTGTCAGAACTTCCAGTCCACAGTACTGGTTTCAATTAGCCTTTACATAAAATTTGGTGTAACATTCCGGGTGTCATTATTTTGCAGATTAAAAAAGCACCAAAAACTCATAACCCAAAATACGTAAGACGTATATATTTATTCACTTATAAAGTATGATTACATATATAGAAAAACCAGTTTCCTTTACAAATCAGTCAATCATTGTTAATTACATTAATTAGGTAGGTTACATGAAGGGAGATAACTCAAACTGAATAAAATCATCACATTTATACAGATAGGCTTTAATGCCTAATGTTTAATATCTACTGACACGAATTGAAATTATAGAACAAATCAAAAACGAAGACAAAATATAATTGGAAAAAATTTATATTCTTCCATATTCTAATTAATTCAACTTTTATTAATCATGAGATGAATGCTGGTTGATAGTTATTTACTTTCCCCCCTTTTTCCCATTACTATTAGTTCTTTCTGATTTATTCCCAGTATTTCAGTTATCATCTTAGTATAAGGAAACAACTCTGAACTCTTTATCTTGGTCTCAATATCCTTTTTATTTAGAAAAATAAGATGTAAGAAAAATATGCTTTATATGTAATTGCTCTTTCACTGAAGTGGAAGAGGGCTAACTTTTATAACATGGACATTCTGTCCCTAACTCCTTTTATATGGGAGAGGAAGTACATGTACTGCACATTTAATATCATTGATATCATAAGACAAAGTAAACTGAAAAGCTGGTGGAATGTTAATTATCTTCTTATTATCATAAGATTAAAGTTGTGTCGCATAATTTAAAATCGATTAAACAGTCAACATTAAATTTATGATCGAATGTATGTAATGTAAGGTTTGCACGTGTGTAATGTATGTATGTACGTGTGTAATGTATGTATGTACGTGTGTAATGTATGTATATACGTGTGTAATGTATGTATGTTTGTATCTATGTATGTATGATTATGGTGTATTGTGTATTATGTTTAAGTCTGACCACCATGTTGTCTTGGGAGAAGACTTATATAGGCTCTTGCCTGCTGTCTAATCTTACTGATTATTTCTATCAATAAGATATTCTGAAAATGAAATAAGCATTCAAAACAAAATATGATTAATATTTAATATAATTAATACATAACTAATATGAAATGCAAAAAACATTATATCATCATGTATAAAGCATACTCCTGTACGTCGTGTTTAGGTAGTATAAATACTCATCATCAAGATAGACAACACGGAAGATGGACAGCTCTTGTGTAGTTATTTTATGTAAGTGTACATTGATTTTATATAGGTTACATAGGCTAGAATAGAACCATAAAGTGCAGTGACAACAATTACTATCAACATTATCAAATAAAGGCTCGAATTGGGCTTACATCTGTATAGAGTGGTGTAGTCAGGGGATTAACGGCAATGATATAAACAATGTTGTACACAAACGAATACAGCATGTAATGCTAATCAAAATGAAAATACAATAACTTAAAGTTATAAAGCGGACAGATCCGACATAACCTATTTTTCCTTGTGATATTACGATAACGACCTCCTTCTATACATAATTGATGAGATAAATGTCGTAATTTCGATGTAAGTCTAAGAAGTGCATCTAAGATAGACTTTGTAAAATAAAGTTGCAATGTAAAACTACCTTACAGGAATTTTTACAAATAGCATTTTGACGACAAAATCATGTCTTATTTGAATAAAATTATCTACCAAACGCTACTTGAAACAACGTAAAATACCTATTCCTCATCAACATAATAAGTTAACCAGACGTTATCAAAACCAGAGGGCACAACTAGCTTCTTAACTTGACAACACCAGTAATAGTTTTGTGGTTGTATTCTTCCATTTCTTCATACATTAAGACTTAAAGACACAATTATTACATTATTTGATTAATTTCAACAAATATTTCATTATTCGACATTTCCCAATGATATCCATAGGCAGGCGTTCTAATTCCGAATATACCATAAAAGATGACGTACTGTTTTTCACATTTAGGATTCTTTGCCTATTATGTCTGTAGCATTAAAGTCCAATGTTTCGCAACCATAATTGAGAACAGGTGATACATCCATATCGAAATCATCGAGTTTTGATTCTATACGGAGTTACAAGTTCTTAATACATTATACAGGCATTTTGGACCATGTTAACCAATTGCGAATTGATGTTTTGTAAACGTACCATTAAAATTAAGCAACATACCTAGAATTAGATCTATCTACAATTTGTATTTCACAACCATTAAAATAGAATTTTTCATCAGCTCGTAATCTTCTACCATTTCGAAATACAACAATGTTTCCTCTGTATCAACTGTTAGATCCCAATTATCATTATATTATTTTAAATAGTCTAACATTTTCTGCAGATTCTGAGAAGAAGACAGTGTCATCTACATAAACAAGGTGAAACAAAAAATATCTCTGGTAAATAACGTATCTATATGTTCATTTCAAGGTTATTTAAATACATGGATTAACGAAAGGGTGATAACCCCTCCCCTTTCATCAAGCCTCGTGAGCAAGAACTTTTACGGTATTTGCTCTGGATAGAATATGACGGCATCCCCCTTATGTAGTTCAATGTGACAGCTCCCAGCGAGTACAAGAAGACTCCCCTCAAAATGTCAATGGGTATTTATGGAACGATAAACCTAGCTTCATTTTTATAGGTAATGGAATTCTGACTCCTAACTCCAAAAAAAATATCTTTAGAATATCTTTAGAAATGATTCTCTCTCTTTCGTGTTCAAATTTACCCCATTCTTGGTTTACGTAAATAAAACTGTAGCAAGAATATCTAACGGGTAAGTTATATACTGTTGCCAGTAGTGGTATTATCTTTGAAAGCTTGAAAAGGTTTCATTCCATTATGGAATAAAGGTAAATTCAAATTCGAGCAAAACAAGAACTATTTTCTGTGACAGGAATAATTTCGAACCAGTGTTGTTTCGAACATTTTTATACCATGAGAGAGAGAGAGAGAGAGAGAGAGAGAGAGAGAGAGAGAGAGAGAGAGAGAGAGAGAGAGAGAGAGAGAGAGAGAGAGAGAGAGATCCTCAGGATGTCTTGGTTTTAGTACATGGAACACATTCCTCTTCTAAGAATATTGAAAACTGTCTCTTTCACGGAGTGTTACCCTTTGGATATCTTATGTCATGCGACAGTGTTATCAAACCATATGAAGTACATCGGTCAAAATTAAAAGTTTGCTTTAGACTCGAACAACTGTATCAATGATTCACATATTTTGCTGCGAAATCAGTACCAATATCAGATGTTTTCTGCAAGTTGATTTATCTTAGAAATGTGCAACTCATAACTAAATTCACCATTTAGTTATCTATATAGAGAATGTTTATATGTTATTGCCCTGTCGAATAAGAGTCAAATAGTCGGAATTTTCACTTTGTACAGAGACAACTGATGTCTGAGATCTTAGTGACGGATGGTGGCTGATATTGGGCTCCTCGTAGGGGGGAGCCGGAGCGATAGTGTCGTATACGGGATCTGGTCTAACAGAGTATGGTGGAGTCGGAATATCCGCAGGAAAACCAGTTCCTGGTTTTGCAGGGAACAAACCTTCTTCTTGGTACATGCCTGAGGCTATGATACAGGGATTTTGCTGGGGATTCTGCTGATGTGAGTAATAGACATTCGGTTCACTCCTTGGAGATGGACGTGGTGAGCTTTGCCTGGGAATCAGAAAGGACAACAAAATTGTACTATATTTTAAAATAATAATGTAATTAATATTTTTATATATTTAGTACGTAGAAATCTTGACATTTTGAAACCCGAACAGATGATGTTCCATTAATTGATGGAATATGGTATTCACGTTGTCAGCATAATCTGTTAAGGCAGTTTTTGCATTGTGTATATTATTATTTCTCAAGCAATATACTTTAACAAGATCATAAGAATGATACTGAATACGAACATTACAGTATAGTCACTAGTGTCCATATTCATTAAGGATTATAATCTTGTGTCGAATATAGAATGCGGTCATATATGATAAACTCATTATATATAAAGAGTACTCCAGTGCAAAAAATATCGCATGAGACATTTTGAACATATTAAACGCTGACAGTGAAAATACATAGAATAATTCTTCCATCGCAGTAACAGAAAGCAATTTAGTATTATTTCTAAGGACATATTTGTGTTCCTGACTTGTTTTCCCTTCGGCCGCCTTGTCGCTGATCGAAGCCATGCCTACTACAGCATAACGTTCTGACATAATATGGCTACTTGCTCCGTTTTTGTACACATTTTTGAACGTGACATTACTTATTATTACTTATTGACCTAGGTTTACATGGCGGATGCTGTCAATAAAGCAGAGGATGCTACTTGTCCGGAACACCTAGTCTTAATCTCTGTGTACTTTCTTTTGTTCATGTTTACCCTTGTTTTATGGAATTTGAATTGGGTTATGATTGTGTTGACATGGTGGTATTTTCTTGATGTTTATTGAAAACATTGAAATATTTGGGTGATTTCAGAATCGTCAGGTGATGCTACATGTGTCATAACGAAGAGTTATATATTATCTATGATAGAAACAAAATTTGAAAGTACTTACCGTCTTCTCGAAACAATACAAACTATCGCTACAACAGCTATGACAATAATGACTAATGCAGCAAGTCCGGCGGATATGTATGTCACTGTTAGCTGCTGCGTTGGAGTATCTGTCGATGGAACGTCATCTGATAATGTAAACACATGCTTTTATACTTTTACTTAAAACATGGTAAATAATAAAGCAAACTGGATGAACTGTATGATTGTACGAGATGGTAATTGCTTGACTATTTCCTTGATCCAAGTACAGGTAAACCATAGTGAAAGTATTAGTTAAATACAGGAATCTCACACTATCTTTGCTCCTTACGATCAAGATATGGTAAATGCCACCTAATTTTCTCAAATAAACTGTATAGGTTTATGTTTTATTGAAGACAATTTATTTTCTGTCAGGGTTTGTTTGTCCTCGGATTGGTGATATCAATAGAATAGAGGTTTTTATTACACAGACAGTAGGTTGAAGTATGATATCTCGAAGACTGTCAAATCCATCAGACAAATCGCCAGTGTACAGCGATTTAGCAATGACCAACTTTTCGGCCGTTTTCTTATTCTATGCACTATGCACGGAAGGTAGAAAAATGTGTGTCGCGATGTAAAAAATTGTAGAATAAAGTACTGTTGTCGATTCGGCTACACTTTGTTTATTAATTAGTCGTAAATGTGCGAGAATCTGTTACACCAAACCCCGCCCCTCCCCCCTCCCTGTCTCTGTTTACTACTGCCCGCTTAGGTGTATCGAGATGGCCTCTTTCACCAGCCGCCTGAAAATGAATTAATTGTCAATAAGCTTTGTAATGCATTGCAAAAATATATTATGATACCATTTGGTCGAAACAAACGTTACTCTGTTGAAAGTTTGCACTTACGTTGACAGGCCAACCCCAAATTTGCGTCCCATTGTCCATTCTGTCCACATCTTATATTGTTAGACACCAATGAATTGGCATAACCCGAGTTGCACTGAAGCGTACACACTTCAGCGGCGTTGCGTGTGCAAGCGTCATTGAGCTTTCCATTAGTTACTCCTGATGGACAACGTGTCACTGTAAATGTTTAAATATCAAAATTTATTTCATATGAATGTCGTTTACGTTTCCATCACAAAATACATAGTTTTACACTCTTGGCAAGCAGAAATTTCAAATTGTGAATGCCAGAATATAAAATGCAAAAGTCGATTTATAAATGGTATGCGTTCTATAAAATTCGTCCTTACCTCCTTGGCAAGTGAAAGGATCATCCGGTTTGAGATATGTACCATCCTGACATGCGCAGTTTGAGGTTGATGTTAATGCTATTGGCAGGCAGAATGTACTGCATCCGCCATTATTCACCGCACACACGGAGTTCACTAATAATTCAAATTATCGACATGACAACTTAAATATTGATCAAATGTTATATATTGCGAAAACATTGATACAATATGACCTAATGTGAAATTTCTCCATAGTTTTGATTTCTATTTTTTTTCTTTTCCTCTCATTGAAAATCGTTTATAGCTATACAGAGATAAATCTTGTTTCATGTCTTTAATGAATAAGTTTGAAAGTTGGCATTGTTTTAGCGTTTATTTCCTATCTTTAAAATGGTATCAGTAACTGTGGAATTTTTACATGGAATTATACCTACTGAAGTGCTGTGTATACAACGAGTGAGAATGAGTGATGTATTGGTGGAATGGGATATTAACAAAATCGTTTATAAGAATGATTCTGGTATCATAATTCAGTAAGTTCAACTTTATACTATGGAAAGTGATCTCATTTTTATTATCTCATTCCTTTTCAGACTCGCCGTATACCGGGACTTCAATAAGAGTTGGCGGTCCATTAATATACTTAATCAGGATAAGTGATATTCATATCAATGTGGTTATTTTTATTTGATATATTGTTAGAAGCAAACATCAAGTGGTAAACCTGGTTGAACTTGTCCTGGAAAGACAAATATGTTGTGTAAGAGGCCTAGTTCAGCTTTGTCCGTCATAAAACGGACTTCCTCCCCTGTCTGAAGATTCATCTTGATAACTTTGCTGAAAAATAATTAAAGAGATCGAATTATTTACGTTCATGTAATTCATAATCAAGCTTTAACATACCTAATATGGTAGAAACAACACATTCATTAACTTATCATCATGACTAACTCTATATATCAAAATTTCGAACATAAATAGAAAATACAACAATATGTATGCCAAATGCATCTACATTAAAATGCGTCCGTCGATTGGTTTAGAATATTCCGGCGTTATTCAGAATATCCAATATAAAATAAAACATTTTGAATAAAGATATTTCATACTGAATATTTCATCATAAAACAGATTAATCCTTGCAATATCACGTTTCGTGTTTGGTCGCGTATACCACGAAGCAATACACCCAACTCAACGATAATCCAGATTAAATTTGGTTACCCGGTACTCTATCAAAGTACGAGTTTACTTTGCCACCTAAAGTAGCCTTTGCATTTGTATTACTGGGAAAATCATATACGTGCTCAAACTGCATTTAAATTGGCAGATCGAAAATTAACAGATTCTGGAAAATTGCTATCTTATGTCAGTCATTCTCTTATTTCTCTGTTAATTTAGCATGAGGCAAGATCCATTCACCATGGTCAACAGGATCTATTCTGTACACTCTGCACGTAAATCGTGGCCAAGTAAGTAATGTCACGTTCTCAAACGAGAACAAGGCATACAACAACGGAATCAATAAGCAAACTAGTTAGTATACAATCTTTTAACTTCACATCATACAAAACAATTAGTCTCCACAATTTTCCTCAAGTTGCATCTGTGATATGAGTTTGTCCGTCAGTCATATATTTTACGACAGGGAAATTGAAATAATTACCCATACAGCTTACCTTGGGAGTGTCTTTTTGAGCACGTCTTTTTTATATTGCGTTCGGTTATGTAAATGTCTTTTCTCATCGACTGTGTATAGTTTCGTTATATACCGAAAACATTCATTTGTATCTTGGTGATTGAGCATTGAATATTTTTCTTAAATACAACGAAAGAAATTAAGCCAGATTCTATTACATTGGTGATCCCTGACTTATGGCAAGTATGGCGGTACTCACTCCCGTCTATCAGATGTAAAATACAAGAAACCACCTGCTATAGCAATAGATCGTATTCGTGAAGTATAAGTTGTTAATTCTTCTCGTTTGGAGCCAGACAAACTGCTTGATTGAATACCATCGCCCATAGATGACCAGTATAAACGGTCAGCTGAAACAATAATGAATGACGACTATTAACACCGCAATAGATTCAGTATATTCATGTAAATTGGTTTGAATTTAGCATCAGTGCCATGTTATAGAAAAAAGAATTTCAGCTTACTTGTGTAATCAATAGCAATATTAGTGATAAAGTCGTCTGGTTCCAGATCAGCGATGACATTTGGAGATGAACCGTCCATAGAAACTCGAATGATGCTTGAGAATGTATTATTGTCATCAGCATTTGTATAGAACATCAACCTGTGAGTAGAAGACAACAAACACTTTCTTGATTTAGTTTGCTGAAATCCACTTACTTAATTGTTGTATTTTCTCGAAGTAAACCTTCCGCTGAAGACACATTTACGTTAAAAGATTAGTTGCATAAATATGTTTCTGTTTCATCTACTCACCCCTTCGATGGATACAGCACAATACCGTTTACGTAACCTAAGCCTCCCACCAGTGTTCTAAACAATCCCTGAGAAGGTTTGAGTACACCAATGCTACCTTGTGATGCATCGCTTGATACACTATAGTACAAGTTACCGTTGGAGTGGTCCATGGCCAAGGCAGTCGGATACTTGCCATCACCTAAATATAATTTTTTTATGTTATAGCTTTTTAAAACGTTTATTATTTCCCGATAATGGCTAGAAATGGGTTTTATATGGCAATTTCCTCTCAAATGGAAACTAAAACAAATATGTTTCATTATGTAAATGACTATTTGTGTGTCTATGTTCCTAACCTTGGATATTCAGCTTGGAGACCACTTGTATTGGGGAAGGGGGACAAGTTTCAAGTTTAAAGCGCTTTTATATCCATGTAACATTAAGGCAAATGCATTATTATTGCGTTATTTTACACAGTTCATTTTAAACATGTTGTTTATCAAAATAAGGTTTAATTTAAAATGGAATTGTCTCCCCTATACCAAATTTGTCTTTATATGAAATGACAAGTAATATATTGACTGCATCCTAAATGTATACTGTATGATTGTTTCTGTCTATATATATAAATATATTTGAGTGTTATGCATCCTCTTCACTAGCCCTTAAAAATGGATATAGGCTTTCAGCCTGTTGTCTAATTCCCTGGATATTTTATCAATAAAGTGACTGAAAAAATGAAATGCATGTGAAAAATATGTGAAACTTTTTATGCAAAACCTATTTGTTTTTGTAAAATACTATCTAAAATAAAGATTCCATGCTATGAAAGCATTGTTTTAATATACAAACAATTCAATTACTACCTGCTGTTGTGTGAACTGTTCCCGAATTGGTTCCGTTTAGTGCAGATGTCATAATGCTATCTTCACCTACATTGGACCAAAATACAAAAGAAGATATCGGGTCATACAGCGCGTCAAGTGCTCTTCCAACGGTATTAATGTCCAAGACCGTTATTTGTGCATCGATTGTGGATATTTGAACCAATCTATTGTGACTTACATCAGTCAGCAGTAAAAAATTGGTGGTCTGTGGAACTGAAATAAACAATGGTACATACATAATTAAACAGTCGTTTAAATTCATAGTAATTTACCTTGTTCGATTTTTTTCCTTCGCGCAATATTTTGCTTCCGATTAAGACAATAATACCACATTGAAAAAAAAAAATTACCGCTGCCACAGCTTTTCCCGTCACTTTGAAGAGTCAATCCATATGAACAATCACATACAGCACTTCCGCTAATACCAGTCAAGCAAATTTGCTCACATCCACCATTAAAATGAAAGCATGGACCTAATGGAAATTGTACAGAACAATTAGAATCGTTGTGCGTCTTAAGCGACATCTTGAAATCATGAAAAAAATTTAGAGTAAATTTAATTTCAGGTTTTAAAATTTGTTACAGATAACTAACTGGGGTTATCACACAACAGGAAATCGTATCATGGATAACATACGATAATTATACGAATGTACCTCTTGTGGGTCTTTGAATTGCTTCATCATACACTGCTAGTCCAGTGATTTTACCCAAGCCGCTAGTTAAATAGGTACGTTGTGGGGAAAGTTGTTGAAGAGCGGTGGAAAACAATACTGCACTAGTACTTGTAGACCAGAATGCATATCTCTGTAAACAAACGATATCTTCTTATTGTAACTGGTACAATGCAACAAAACGTGCTCTGTGAATTGTTTCTGTATTCGTTTCAGATTTAATCTGAGGATATCAAAATAATTAAAACAATCAAAATAGTAATAAAATGTGTGAAAGAACAGGGAAGTACACATTCCTGTCCCAACCAGGAACCTAAAGTGTCGGCATCTTACTAATAATATCTTACCGCAGACATATATATTTAGCTAAGTATCTTTATACGTCTTCATGATACCTCCTCAGTTTTCACTAATGATATAAAATTATTACAACGCCCTTTATTTAAAAGCACACTTTTTAAGCCAGATCGACAACTTCAAAACATCTACAAAAATTGTTCTTCAGATGATGTAACTTGAATGATATCACATAATCGTGGTTTTAGTATATATTTATAAATATGATGCAATAATATATGTATTGGTAGTTATGGGCATCTACAAGTTATCTAGTGGTCAATGTTTGAACGTTACAATACTCCGCGTATCACGTACTGTATGAAGCGTTACAACTGTTCAAATACATATCAGTATAGTTTTATGCTTGTAATTTGCTACGGTCAATAAGACCTTATCTCGAACTTATTTTAACAATTTAAAAACAAATTGTGATTCTTAAGGTACACAACCGATTGCCCAAGCGTGGTCACACGACAAAGGTTTGTTCCAGAACAAATAATAGATTAAATCAAGGGCAGAAGAGGCGTGTTTTCTCCTGAAACACATTTTGCGTATTTCTCAATTTCTTTCCTGTAATTTGAATGATACATGACAACCTACATACATTGTATAAACACGAACCCTTTTCTATATACTAAACTTATTTTACCAAACATTGTTTAATCGGGTACATATGCTTTTCAATTCTGAATCGTAAGTTCTTCACGTAACTCCGGTCATATTGTTAACCAATATGTAAAAGGTTTTTAGTTCATATCCATGTTTCCTTTCACAGGATGGACGCACTTACCAAAGTATTTTAACTACTTTTCTTTTAGAACAACAAGAGACATAAATGAATTAAAGAGAGAGTACAATGGCATTTGTACCTTGTATACTATCATTTTTTCCACAGATTGCAGACCCTTGTAGAGATGTTCAATATCACTTCCGTTTCGTGCTACGTTGGAAAGTCTGTCAGACTGAATAAAGTACAACCTGAAAAGAAAAATTGTAGAAGTAATTGAAATTCATTCATTGATGTCAAATTCTATGTTTTGTATGTTGCTATCATACGTGATAAAACAAAAAACTAGAAAAATGAATAATGAAAAGGATAATAACGCGCATGGCTTTCGGAAGAATATTGTTTCTTGAAGTTACTTCTTAATCACATGAATTTATGAAAGCGTTGCGTTTCTGATCGAACTGAAATTAAAAATGATTTATGCAAATATGCAATAGAGAAGTAAAAGTAAAACGTGTTTAACGTAGGTACCTGTCACTCGAAACATCAAAGAATATGTCCTTTATATACGCTGGTAATGGCTGTGTCAGAATAACGGACTTTTCTTTGGTAACAATGGGCATGGCTACAATACTCATTTCAAAACCACTCGTTCCTTCCACCCAGAATAGCGTCCTTGGAAAGAGTTAAAACATCAGTAAACGATACAATTTTATTGAAAACAGAACTGTAACCAGCAGATATATTGCGTTGAATATGAGGGCAAATGGAAATGAGCATGGATTTTTAAAGGAATAATGAAAACGATGGATTTTTCTTAGTGGTAATGATATAATTGTTTTCATGAATTTGACGGAATTTATTCATTATCCAAAATTTATTGAAAAGGATTGCCTTTCCACAGCAAGCACAGAAAATAAAGCCTTTTTAATGACTAATCTAATATCACACCTAGTAAGCGGATCCATGGTTAGGTGTGAAGGAGGTGAATCGGTGTCAACAAGGTCTCTGGCTGCAGTTCTCGCTATGGTAACATATTTCACCTTCCCTCTGGCCGATTCTAACCAATACAAATTACCATCTGTCCAGTCAAATGCTATTCCTGTAATCATACACATTGAATTAATAGTAGAGCTCGCGAATGAAATTGTTCTATAATATCATCAAATTTTCCCACTATTTTCCGTCACTCTTTATGTTTCATTTCTTCATTTCTTTTACAGAATTGAGAATCATTTGGGATCCTATTTAGGTTTGGTTGTTAAGTGGTCTTACAACATTGTGATCTTGAATTAAACTGACCTTTGATGACTTGTTCATTATCACAAATATAAACTCCGTTTACCTGACACTGTTTCCGCGGGTGTTATCTGACGGATCTTGTCTGTAATCAGATTATACTCTTTGATAAAGTTGGACGTAGTGTCAACGTAGAAGATAAGCTTGTTACTGGCATCAACCGTCAGAAACTGACCGCCTTGTACAAGGTTACTAACACAACGAAGTGGATCACTGTGGTTTGTGGCTGTACGGAAGCTCAGCATACAGATTTTAGTGGTGCTAGAAACCACTATCGCCTTGTGGTAAAGTGGATGATTTTCTGGAGCAAAGATAGTTTATCAAAATTTTAATTAAGTGAGTTACTTCTATCCTTGGTTGATATATAAAGGTTTGTATCCAATGAGATTTTGAATATAAGAAATGTCCTCAATTGCATAATTTTCAAATTCGAATCATATCAAACGGACATAGAAACACAGCATATAGGTCACCTTGGGAACTGCAGTTTACTAGTAGTGTCTTCCAATGAAAATTTTGTTTCTACAATCATGTTAATATATTAACACATATGACCGGAATAAGTTATCTCAATTGCATCTCATAGATAGCTTTCTTAAAGAATCTTTATTGCAAAGACGCCGTTTTGTCTGGTGAAATATACAAGTAAGCAATTGAAATCTAATGTAGACTATTTCAACATTTCATATCATATCATACATCATAAACGAAAGTCAAAGTGATTGTAAAACGTGTTACCTGTGCAGTGTATCCCATCAGTATTAAGGGTGTATCCCTCCTTGCACAAACATTTACCGATAGATTGAAGGTTTACACAGAAATGTTCACATCCCAATGTCAAGCAACCGTCTGGAAAAAAACAAAAAACAATGTCCATGCTTTCATTGGCATCAGAATGTTAGTATCTTCTTCTTACTCCATTTTTGTTTGAATTCAAAGAGGAAACAAAACACATCCATGCACTGGAAAGGATAACGTGGATGTTAATAGAAAGTCTCCGATATCATGAACCTACAAACTTGTTATATCTCAAAAAATCATTCTAAAACGATCTAATAATTAGTTTGGCTTTCTTAATTTTTTGTTGGCAATGGTGTAATTAAAGTATTGTTATGCAGTAAAAGATATGCAGCACTATTATACGAAACTTACTGGTTAAACTCGGTCTTAGTTCCGCTTTTGATATGGCGATAGCGACCGGCTGCGTAAATAGAAATTCGCTTTTACGAATTAAAGAAATGGCTCCTGTTGATTTAACGATACACGTCCATAGTGGTGTTTCGTGTACGGTGGTGCACACATGATCCTGAAAAAATATGTCGCAATTCAATTTTTTTTCTTTTGTTTTTGAATATTTTTTTTACCAATTACAAACATATATGGACACATCCTTACATACTCACTCAGGCAAAGATACATATTTGCATGAATATATAGATACAAACACACATATATGCACGCAAATACATGTACATGCAAACTCACATGCATATTTACACACATAAATACCCACATTCACTTATTCATACATGTACACAAACATTCATACACATGTATACACTTAAATATAGAACACATATCTGCTTTATATTGAGAATATACAAAGTATACAAAGAAACATAGATACAAACATACAAACAAAATGTATACATACGCACAACATATGCACACGTGCACGCATATATATATATATATTTATATATATAACAGACAGGAACATACCTTCATAACACATTACCTGATTTATCGAGAGTACGTGCTGATAAGTTTAAACTCTTCGCATCTTACATATAGGATACACATAAACATATACATATTTTTAAGTTGGTAAAAACATAAGTAGAATACATTTTTCTTTTGCACATAAATGTAGTGATACCTTGTTCCACTTCCACTGCCGATGTTTTGTCTAGAATTTTGTTTATCTTTTGTCTCATATGAAAAATAAAAGATTGACAGTCACTGTTTTCAGCTATGGTTTCATCTTAACTCATAGAGGATATACTGTAATATTATTGGCTTTATACTTTCTTATATTTATTTAAATGATAACAATACCTAACCATAGTGCCCATATCTACTCAAACTTCACAGTTTCATTTTTCCCTTTATTAGATAAATATGAATATGAATGAAAAAGGCCACCCTTACAGAGAGGGTGACTTTGTATTTATTTATGAAATTAAAAACATATCTTACAGTTACATAAACCATAAAATGAACAAAGGATTATTTTTAAGTAATTATAATAAAAGCCAATGTGGGGTTAACAAGAAACCGCCACAAAGACATGACAAAATGTCTTGCGCTTGTAAGCGAATTTTAACATCAGCACTCACAACAGCATATCATGTACTCGCTTTCATGTAGCGTCAGTATTGGTGATTTCGGTTACCTACATTGCTAATATAACCATACAAACAATTCAAGACAATAAATTATAATATCTACAGATTGGAAATATTGTAAATAGAAATTCGCTTTTACGAATTAAAGAAATGGCTCCTGTTGATTTAACGATACACGTCCATAGTGGTGTTTCGTGTACGGTGGTGCACACATGATCCTGAAAAAATATGTCGCAATTCAATTTTTTTTCTTTTGTTTTTGAATATTTTTTTTACCAATTACAAACATATATGGACACATCCTTACATACTCACTCAGGCAAAGATACATATTTGCATGAATATATAGATACAAACACACATATATGCACGCAAATACATGTACATGCAAACTCACATGCATATTTACACACATAAATACCCACATTCACTTATTCATACATGTACACAAACATTCATACACATGTATACACTTAAATATAGAACACATATCTGCTTTATATTGAGAATATACAAAGTATACAAAGAAACATAGATACAAACATACATACAAAATGTATACATACGCACAACATATGCACACGTGCACGCATATATATATATATATATTTATATATATAACAGACAGGAACATACCTTCATAACACATTACCTGATTTATCGAGAGTACGTGCTGATAAGTTTAAACTCTTCGCATCTTACATATAGGATACACATAAACATATACATATTTTTAAGTTGGTAAAAACATAAGTAGAATACATTTTTCTTTTGCACATAAATGTAGTGATACCTTGTTCCACTTCCACTGCCGATGTTTTGTCTAGAATTTTGTTTATCTTTTGTCTCATATGAAAAATAAAAGATTGACAGTCACTGTTTTCAGCTATGGTTTCATCTTAACTCATAGAGGATATACTGTAATATTATTGGCTTTATACTTTCTTATATTTATTTAAATGATAACAATACCTAACCATAGTGCCCATATCTACTCAAACTTCACAGTTTCATTTTTCCCTTTATTAGATAAATATGAATATGAATGAAAAAGGCCACCCTTACAGAGAGGGTGACTTTGTATTTATTTATGAAATTAAAAACATATCTTACAGTTACATAAACCATAAAATGAACAAAGGATTATTTTTAAGTAATTATAATAAAAGCCAATGTGGGGTTAACAAGAAACCGCCACAAAGACATGACAAAATGTCTTGCGCTTGTAAGCGAATTTTAACATCAGCACTCACAACAGCATATCATGTACTCGCTTTCATGTAGCGTCAGTATTGGTGATTTCGGTTACCTACATTGCTAATATAACCATACAAACAATTCAAGACAATAAATTATAATATCTACAGATTGGAAATATTGTAAATAGAAATTCGCTTTTACGAATTAAAGAAATGGCTCCTGTTGATTTAACGATACACGTCCATAGTGGTGTTTCGTGTACGGTGGTGCACACATGATCCTGAAAAAATATGTCGCAATTCAATTTTTTTTCTTTTGTTTTTGAATATTTTTTTTACCAATTACAAACATATATGGACACATCCTTACATACTCACTCAGGCAAAGATACATATTTGCATGAATATATAGATACAAACACACATATATGCACGCAAATACATGTACATGCAAACTCACATGCATATTTACACACATAAATACCCACATTCACTTATTCATACATGTACACAAACATTCATACACATGTATACACTTAAATATAGAACACATATCTGCTTTATATTGAGAATATACAAAGTATACAAAGAAACATAGATACAAACATACAAACAAAATGTATACATACGCACAACATATGCACACGTGCACGCATATATATATATATATATATATATATAACAGACAGGAACATACCTTCATAACACATTACCTGATTTATCGAGAGTACGTGCTGATAAGTTTAAACTCTTCGCATCTTACATATAGGATACACATAAACATATACATATTTTTAAGTTGGTAAAAACATAAGTAGAATACATTTTTCTTTTGCACATAAATGTAGTGATACCTTGTTCCACTTCCACTGCCGATGTTTTGTCTAGAATTTTGTTTATCTTTTGTCTCATATGAAAAATAAAAGATTGACAGTCACTGTTTTCAGCTATGGTTTCATCTTAACTCATAGAGGATATACTGTAATATTATTGGCTTTATACTTTCTTATATTTATTTAAATGATAACAATACCTAACCATAGTGCCCATATCTACTCAAACTTCACAGTTTCATTTTTCCCTTTATTAGATAAATATGAATATGAATGAAAAAGGCCACCCTTACAGAGAGGGTGACTTTGTATTTATTTATGAAATTAAAAACATGTCTTACAGTTACATAAACCATAAAATGAACAAAGGATTATTTTTAAGTAATTATAATAAAAGCCAATGTGGGGTTAACAAGAAACCGCCACAAAGACATGACAAAATGTCTTGCGCTTGTAAGCGAATTTTAACATCAGCACTCACAACAGCATATCGTGTACTCGCTTTCATGTAGCGTCAGTATTGGTGATTTCGGTTACCTACATTGCTAATATAACCATACAAACAATTCAAGACAATAAATTATAATATCTACAGATTGGAAATGCAAATTATTTATGTGAGATATAGAGTTCAGTATTACGGATGATATTTTCAATGTTTACCGACAATTGTGCACATTTTGACTGTAGTAATGAACTTAACAATGATGTGGTGTACGTTTTTCGTACATCTAAAAAAAGATAATGGTACTCCAGTCCGCGAGCAGATCACATGTCGACACGAAAAAAGAGACACTCGAACACTAAAGCAATACTACAACATCATTATATACTTAACGTAACACGTTTATGGCCGTCATGTCGAGAATCATTCACTTGTGGCAGAATTTGGAAAATAATTTCCACGACGAAGAACGTTGTAAAAACGTCGAAGAGGAGGGGTTATTGGAATTGCATATTTTTTTATGAAATGTATAATAGATAATTGTTTATGAAACATAGGTGTTTTGACAGTTATATACCATGATGAATTCTATCATCAAATGAATCTTCATTGATTTTGAAAGCATTCAGGTGTGTTGTTATTTTTCGTATACATCTGGTTACATTGTTAGGAAACATTCATTGCAATACGTTGATATTATAACAGCTTAAGTATATGTATATATATAAACTGTGTTCAAAATATTTATAATATACAAGTCAATTCTACAACGAGAAATACTAAAGTTCGCCTGTACAACCTAATAGATGCTAACAAATCACCGCTGATATTATATCCCCAATTAAAAAACCTATGCACTATCAACGTGTTACGCAATATACAACGTAGTTATTAATATCTTCATGTTATCAGTTATATTCTGAATGAATATTAACTGATGGGCCTAGTGCACTGATAGGTTAAAGCAGAAAGGATGAGAGATGTACATTTCAATTAACTGATCTTTCTATGCTATCTATGAGCACATTTTTCACATTGGAGTTTATATCATACGGTTTTTAACGATCACGGAGTTTAGTGTTCTCTACTACCTTTAGAACTTTGCATCTACGCTTGTTATAAATGACAAAGATTGCTGAAACAAACTAATTTTTTTTATTTGTTCTTTAAATTTTGGGGTTAATACCTCATTCCATTATGGAAAGTTATATGTGGATATATGTTGAATGACAATGAACATACATGTATAATTTATTACTAGGGTTATGAGATGAAGTGTTTTTGTCAAGAAATGTCGAATAGATATTTACATTTTGGCCTTTTTCGCAGTTCGACATAAAAAAATCCTCACAGTACATAGTCATTTCGCAATTTGTATGCATATATGTATTGTACCTGCAATAAAGGTTCGTCAATATGAGGCGATGGGGTAAAATATCAAAACAGTGAATTAAGATAAAAACGATGGTGACAAGTGAACAAATATATTCAATAACATTTGTTCTCGGAAAAAATTACGTTAAATTGAAACAGAAATAAGACAAACGTTATCTTAATTTCAATATATGTATAAACTAAAGTTACCGTATCTACTGCAATGGACCGGAATTGGATACCAAGTTCTTTGTAAATAATTCTCCGATCGGTTCCGTCATAGAGTGATGACTCTATTGCATTTCTCCCCACTTCAGTCCAATACAGCCTGCGTTCACTTGTGTCTATTTCAATATCCCACACCCTTATTAGGTTTTTTACAATGATGGGGATACGGCTCGTTCCATCAAGCATTGCTCGTTCTATCCGGTAGCCAGATGTGGAGATATCAAACCAAAACATGTATCTAAAATATGAAAAACAAATTTCTGTATAACAAGATATGAATATCTATAAGCAAATACATATTACAAAAAAATGTGATCTGCCATGTACGTTATAACAAACATTTAAAACGGGAGTTTACGCACCGAATGGTTGCCGTATACGGTATTCCTCCATGCACTCGAGCTTGTTATAATTTGCAAAAGTTAAAAGGGCTTAAGCGAGTGTTGTTGGAAAATAACTATACAAATATAAAAAAAAAATGTGTTTGTGTCTAGTTTTTCCACAGTAAAAAACATTGATGAGTTGATTTGTTCTGTACCAACGTGTTTTGTTATAGGCGAATTAGTATGACATGTAGTAAATTGCCGCTAATCAGCATGAAAATCCACATTCGTGGACATATTATAAAATAATTACCAATCATTTGCAAATGAGTGACAGATTTAAAATGTTCAAAGCAAAACAAGTTGATAGAAAGTCATAGGAATTCAAATTATTACAAAAACAGTCGCGTTTTCGCGAGTGCGCGAAGTGTCTTTAATATCTTACCAAATCAAAAGAATAGACAACGCGAGGTATAAGACCATCAGCACGACAGAGAATAACACAAAATATTCTGGTAGATAGTATATTTTCATTATTTTACATCATATAGTATCAATATCAAACATCATATAAAATCAACATTAAATATCACATAATATCAATACTAAACAGCATATAATATCAATATTTAACAGCATGTAATATCAATATTTAACAGCATGTAATATCAATACTAAACATCATATAATATCAATATTTAACGGCATGTAATATCAATATTTAACCACATATAATATCAATATTAAATATCTTTAACATCATAGATAATATAATATCATATAATATCGTAAGATATCATAATATCAAAATGTGGAATATTCATATCTAAAGTAACTAATCCACTAGTTCGAGAAACCTTCATGACGAACCACAAGACGACTCTTACCCTGCTTTAGAATCCACCGCCAATGCAGATGGCTTCTCTATATCATTCTGGATTAGGACTCGATACATACTCCTGTCCATTGTATTAACAGGCTGAACCGCTATCCAGTTAAAAAAGCCATCCGTCCAGTACATGTTTCTGCTGACCCAATCATATGCAATAGAGGTGTAATATGAACTGGAAATACCAGAGTGGACAGTTTCCACCTTTTCGGAATGTAACCGGTATATACATCGAGAGGTGAGGTCAAAAAAATAAATGGATCCGTCAGCTACATTAACATCCATGCTTGTTATTTGGATGTCACTTAATTCCACCCTGGTGAAATTGTGAGGCGAGTTTTCCGTGAAGCTGTTCCCATCATCGGTGTAGGTGAAAATGCCACCGTGAGTTAAAAGACCTTCGTCAACAGAAACGTAGATGACGGAAGCTAAAAAAAGACAAAAAGCAAACTCATAATTATTGTCTTAAAAATATTAAAATATACAGAGAGAGGACATTTATTACACTTTTAGCACGCGAAATACGAGGACATATGAATTTGATTAAAACTCCAATCAAGTAAAATTTCTTGTGATGGTATCTAATATCCGGTAGATCCTGTAACAACTAGGTGGGATTTTAAAATCCATGTCTTAATATGGTTTGGAAGTGACTGCAAGCAGAGAACAATATAAACCAAAGTATTTCATCCTTTAGAGACAAATGTGTATCTTGAACACACACACACACACACACACACACACACACACACACACACACACACACACACACACACACACACACACACACACACACACAAAATAAATAAACCAATAAATCATATATTTCAATAAAGATTTAGAAGTGGAATTCTACGCTTTCGTCTTCAGAAATGCTGATGGCCTAAATCCAAAATTCAAAATGATATGAAATTGAGTAAAATTTAGACGGGAAGGGCGTCATCCCTATAATGCAATACATATTGTACTTTTAATATATTTGATATTCTCAAGTACATACATATATTGTGCATCGTGTGTGCCTTAGCACGCAAGCTATGATACTCGTCAATAGATAAAATTTTAGAATAGTAATATTGAAGTAAGATGTTCTTAAAGAACGTTCTTCTTCATTATCTCTAACCAATGTATATAAATGAAATTCAAGAAGATGACACAACATGTAGTTTATTTACAAAAAAATAACACCATCTAACCGTGGATTCAAACGAAGCTAAAATGATGTATTGTTTTCATAAATCAATATTCTATTACAAATAAAGATTAGATTTAACACATAAGCTATGGCCTATCATCAAAGATTTACTGGATAATTGCTTTCCACAATTAAACCCTATCCCATATTGATTTAAGCATTTTATATTACAACAACCTCCATCAATAGGCATAGGAGTTAGGTATTACAAAACAATATAAGCTCTTTCACGGAAGTCATGCATTCATACAAATACTGCAAATCGATTTTTGACTTATTTCGAGTTTACCCAATACACTGACAAAACAGGTTTTACCAATTACGGAAACTCGCCTATAAAATCAGATAAAAATGTAGCAGTAATATATTTTCCACACACTGGCAAACCTCCCTTGGGAACATCATACAAATATCGCCTCATCGAGGCATCACTATGATTTAATAAATTCACGTCATAGCACAAACAGCAGTAGCTGGTGCATCCATAGGCATTCGTTATCTAGTATAACTATGCTTTACTAGATAGAAAAGTAAAAATAGTCTGGTATATGATTTTTGTTTCATGATGTTCCTTTCAAGGACCGACAATTTAACCAATAAAAATGAAGAAGTGTTAATAATATATCACAGTCTATTCACATCCATAGCTTAATTCCATATTTTCATATATTTCACAATGACAAACATTCACTGTGTTACAACTCTAACATGACGTACAAATAACTGGCACAGCTTGATAAAATCAAGCTTAAATACACTAAAAAGATTTACACCTACAAAATTGCCTTCATTATCGCATGAATGATAATGTACCTAGTGCTTGCGGAACCAATAAAAGGACATATATTTACACACATGTTAAACAAAATACACAGGGACATGAAGCCTAGAGAAACCGAGTATTAATGTTATCGAAGGAAAACACTGAATGCGTAAACCTGATTCAGCGGAGTGTAACGCCTGCTCTCTACCTATGTAATAAAATACACACGTAAACATAATAAAAATATATCATTTTTATAACTTATGTAAAGATACATAAATTACTCAGGGGATACCCAATATCATAAACAAAACTTGACTACATCAACAGAGTCGAGTTGCTGGGCTCCTGGATAGAAAAAAAATATACCTAAAATGTTGTGATGAGGAAAATCAAAGACATACCACACGTGTGCTTTTATGCGAAATTATTGTACAATGTTGACCTTGTATGTCATTCCATAATGACGAATATAATATTTGAGATATGATTATGTGACTCTGATCAACCCATTCATCAACATTGCCCCGTCGATGCACGTGCAGCAATGCGGTTGGAGGAACGACCGAGAGAGCAAAGCCCTGTCATGTTCAGCCCATTTGGTGACAAGAAAAGAATTACACCTCCAACGATGCTAAAGATATAGCATGAGGACAGAGACATATAGCTAGTGGGCAAATGAAAAGATTTTGATAACACACGCTTTTCTCAAGTGGACAATAATTAATTTTCAATAGATCCCACCTTTATCACTTGATGTATGGAGATGTCTCCCCGTCCCTTCTACACACAGTGTACACTGAACTGTTATATTTAGTTTTAGTTTTTTGTTTCTAACATTTAGTCTAAATGACAATTTAACCCTTTAACACCTCTAGGTCTTTCAGTTTATGAGAAATGTCATTTAAAGGTTTTAACAAATCTGACCACTGTGAGCTTGAATATAGGTGAAATTCATTTCTTTTGTAGGGCTTCGTTCTAAGAATATACCAGCAAATACGATGACCACTGTGACCTTGAATATAGGTGAAGTTCATTTCTTTTGTAGGGCTTCGTTCTAGGAACATACCAGCAAATACGATGCTTCTTTGCCTTTTATGTTTGTTCATTGGATGTTTTAACGCGTTTGACCACTGTTACCTTGAATGTACCAGCAAATACGATGACCACTGTGACCTTGAATATAGGTGAAGTTCATTTCTTTTGTAGGGCTTCGTTCTAGGAATATACCAGCAAATACGATGACCACTGTGACCTTGAATATAGGTGAAGTTCATTTCTTTTGTAGGGCTTCGTTCTAGGAACATACCAGCAAATACGATGCTTCTTTGCCTTTTATGTTTGTTCATTGGATGTTTTAACGCGTTTGACCACTGTTACCTTGAATGTACGTCAAGGTAATTAATTTTCCCTAACTTTTCCAAGCTTCATCCTAGGAACATACCAGCAAAATAGTTCAGTAGGAGAAGTTGTTATAACAAATTTGACCACATTTGACATTGAATTCAAGTCAACGTAATTTATTTTCCCAAACTTTGTCATGCTTCATCCTAGTAATATATTAGTCAAATATCATGTCTCTTAGTTTATGGGAAGATGTCGTTTAAAGGTTTTAATAAATCTGATTCCTGTAACCTTGAATTTAGACCTAGGTCATCTCTTTTTGCAAACTTTGTCGGACATTAATTCATTATATTATAATTGGTTATTGCGAAGAAGTTGTTCAAAGGAAAAGTTGACGCCAGACGACCAACGCTGAGCCACAGCATAAGATCAAATTGCATTTGGGTTAAATGAGCTAAATATGCCGTCGACTGTGTATATACTCTTGGACCAGGAAGGCTAAAACAAATTGGAGTTGGCATTTACAGAATACATCGGCAGGCCTTACAATACAGAAGGAAATATAATAGCTAGCAGAGTATTCTATATATATATATTATTGTAAACAGTCGATATTATACATGGTAAACAGTAGAAGTAAATATAGTAAAATGTTGACAGTAAATATAAAACGTACAAAGTGACAGTGAACATAATAAAACGTATTGAATACATATAGTAAAAGCAGTAGATTGTACACATACAAAACAGTATAGATAAATATAGTAAACTGTAGAAAACTGAAGAGTAAATCAATAAAGAGTAAAACGTAAATATGATAAACAGAATATAGTGAATATGGTAAACAGCAGACAATGACAAAGTGATCTCAAACAGTACATTTAGTGAACTGAGCATACTGAATAAAGAAAACTGTACAACCCAGTTGTGATAAACAATAAACATGTATAAAGAAATGAGTAGACAGCAAATACAGAAATGGCAACACAGTAAATATAGACAAAAATATACAATTAATGTAGTCATTATAGAAGTCGATAGACAATAAATAGAAAAGAGCACACAGTACATGTAAGCATATGTATTTACAATGAAGACAGTAAACATAGAAAAGAATAGACAATAAATGAAATAAGAAATTACACATAGGAAAATGCAGAGAGTGGATATTTATTTAAATTGAACAAAGAAGACAGCAAATAACGAGCATTTTTTATAAGTTGATTTATATTCACTGAATTTGCCTATGTAATAGTTTTGCGTATATGTCACATATATAATTTATCATTGGACGTATCTAATTGCCTTCCATTTGTGTTTTTCCCTTACACCATTATGGTATGGAAGTGGGAACTACTTGTCATTCTCGAGGTTGTATTTTCCCGGCAGATGTGTTACACACCCGTTTACTATTGGTGTGTTGACATGCACAGGTCGTCAATACAAATATCGATGTGAGAGAAGTATAGTGTAGATGTTGGATAGTGGTAAGGACTAATTGTACACAATGGGTATTGAATAAAGGAAACGGTTAACAAAGAATGCCTTTAATTGTGATTGTATAAAACGGTGTCAAATAGATGTATTAGATAGGTAGTTGTAAACGAATAAAGCGGAGAGGTAGAGCTGTAGTCACGGGAGTGCGTGTCCGTATCTTTATATTTAGGGCTTTTCACTAACTTGTGAAAAGACCTATTGTTTTTGTTCTGTTTCTTATTATTATTATTATTATTAGGGCTTTTCACTAACTTGTGAAAAGACCTATTGTTTTTGTTCTGTTTCTTCTTCTTCTTCTTCTTCTTCTTCTTATTATTATTATTATTATTATTATTATTAGGGCTTTTCACTAACTTGTGAAAAGACCTATTGTTTTTGTTCTGTTTCTTCTTATTATTATTATTATTATTGTTGTTATTATTATTATTATTATTATTATTATTATTATTATTATTATTAGGGCTTTTCACTAACTTGTGAAAAGACCTATTGTTTTTGTTCTGTTTCTTCTTATTATTATTATTATTATTGTTGTTATTATTATTATTATTATTATTATTATTATTATTATTATTAGGGCTTTTCACTAACTTGTGAAAAGACCTATTGTTTTTGTTCTGTTTCTTATTATTATTATTATTATTATTATTATTATTGTTGTTATTATTATTATTATTATTATTATTATTATTATTATTATTATTTTTAACTTGTATTGTTTTTGTTCTGTTTCTTCTTATTATTATTATTATTATTGTTTAGGGCTTTTCACTAACTTGTGAAAAGACCTATTGTTTTTGTTCGGTTTCTTATTATTATTATCATTATTATTATTTTTATTATTCCTTTTCCAATTTTGTGGGTTCGTAATCTTTTAAATTGTAAAAGCTAGACATACAGTCTATTCATTTATTTGTAGATACGTATATGAACTCAAGAACTGTTTCAGCTAGTGACCTCAGTTTTAATCATATTATGTAAAATAATAAGAAAACACTTTTCACAAGAAAAAATCTGGGATCGAAGGTCAACTTCAGGTCTTCGGTAGGGGTCAAAGTTCAAAAGTGTTATTTTAAGTTACAAACTTTGACAAACTTCTTCTCAAGTTCTGCAAAGCTTTGAGTCTTGATATTTCATGTGTAAGATGTCTGATCAATTATCTATCAAGTTTCAAGGTCACAGAGGTCAAATAACTAAGAATCGTTAAATGACAGTTTCTCACTTTCTAGAAGGCACACAATGATGGAAATTGATTAAAAACCTTCTGTGGACACTTCCTATTGATTGTCATAAGAAAAACTTCCTTAAAAGTTCAACTTCCGGTTTTCGGTAGGGCACAAACTTGGAAAGAGCTAATTAGGGTACCAATCTTTGAAAAACTTCTTCTCAAGTTCTGGAAGGCCTAGAGGCTTGATATTTCATGTGAAAGAAGGATATGTAACTGGAAACAAAATTTGATAATTAAAATGACCTTGATCCACTTTCAAGGTCACAGAGGTCAATTAACTAAAAATCGTTAAATGACAGTTTCTCACTTTCTAAAAGGCATACAATGATGAAAATTGATTATAAACCTTCTGTGGACGCTTCCTAATGATTGTCATTAGGAAAACTTCAAGCAAAATGTCAACTTCCGGTTTCCGATAGGGGTCAAAGTTCAAATATACAAAATAGGGTACCAGTGTTCAACAATCTTCTTGTCAAGTTTCACAAGGTCTAGAGAACTAATATTGGGGATGTAATGATCATCAGATGTTACATTATAAGGCTTGCAAATATGAATAACCTTGACCGACATTCAAGGTCACAGGGGTCAA